TCTCTCCCACTCTATCTGTACAAAAAATGGAGAAATGTCCTCGGGTGAGGATTAAAAAAAAAAAAAAAAAAAGGCAATATTTAATATAACTCCAAAACAAAAGCCAAATCAGAATTGGCCAAGCATAAGAATATTGTACAAACCATTTTTATAGCATGGTTTTGTGTACAAGAATGACTGTGAAACTAAACTGTCTTATTTCCAGACATTTTCTTCCATAAACAATAACGGTCACTGCTGAAAGGACTACTCGCAACCTTACCAGAAATTTCTTGGGGGAACAGTCTAGTCTTCAAAACAAATGGTATCTGTCTAATTCTTACTGCAAAATCTAAAATGCTACTCTACGTACTGTATTTCATTTGTAATAAGTCTTTGTGATAAGGTTAACACTTCAACACGTAACACAAATAAGAGAGCACCAAAAAATGAAAATTACTTTGCTTATGTTTCCGTATTAGAATTTTATTTGCTAAAGGGTAAAAACAGATTTGCAAAATTCACAGTTAACTTAAAACAATAGTTTTAAACCTTTTATTCCTAGCCCTTACTGCCTTCAGGAAGGAGAGAACATCTGGTTATTTAAGGAACACAATATGTTCACATTTTCTATGACTTTTGTTTCTAATTGGGTTTTAAAATTTTTTTGAATTTGAACAACTAGTTAGAACAATGTTTTTTAATCACTTCATATTTTTCAGACTGTCCTCCTTCTATCCCTCTATTTATTTAGTGGATTGTTTTTGGAAATTTGCTCAGTGGTTCTAATATGATAAACATAAGAAAATAAGAATTAGGACTGTGGTATAAAGAGTTAAATATAGAAACAGTATTTATGGTGAACCGAATATAGGATGCTACAAAGAGATATATGACATCCAGTTTCTATATACAGCATACATTTAAAAAACTTTCAAATAGTTCTTGGGCAACTTATATACATGGCAGTTTCACTTATTACAATTGTCTAGTACAAATGAAGAATTTGGGTGAGCAATAGCAGTAACTAGGATCCCACTATTTTTAATACCAGTGAAACTATAGCTCTGGTGTGAAAAGGTAGTCAGAAGACATGGGTTCAATTGCTGGCTCTGCCACTGACCTTGAATTAGTCTTTAAACTTCACCTTGATCTTCAGTGTTCACCTACAGAAGGAGGGGCTAGATTAGACTCTCTAGGTTCTTTGCAGTTCCAAAAATTTGACAGTCTAAGTAAAGTATGTTAACTACATTCTTTGTTATGTCTTCTTTGTTCCATAATATTTAAAGGTGGTAACAAGTTTTAAAATAATTCTGAAACAGTAAATTAAGGAACTAGATGCCCTTTAAGTTCAAGTTGTAGGGTTAGTTCACCATCTTGATAAAAATGGCAGCTGACAAAATTGGCTACAGCTTCTATAGAATGTAGATATGGGTTCCAGAAATTCACTAGGTGAATGAGATATACCTATTTTAGAGTCAGTATGGTGTACTGGAAGAGGATTAGCATTTGAGTCAGAATTCAATTCTACCCCCCCTTTTTTTTCTTTATTCCTCACCTGAGGATATTTTTTTCCATTTTTGTTCAGATAGAGTGGGAGGGAGAGAAAGAGAGAGAGAGAGGGAAAGAGAGAGAGACATCGATGTGAAAGGGTCACATTGAGTGGCTGCCTCCCACACGACCCCAACCAGGGCCAGGGATGAATAGCAATTGAGGTATGTGCCCTTGACTGGAATTGAACCCGCGACTCGGTCCACAGGCCGACGCTCTAACTGCTGAACCAAACTGGCCAGGACTACCCTTATTTTCTTAACAAAATTTTAGAACACAAAGCTCAATATTAAAAAAAAAAAAAAGCAGCATCATGGGGACAAATAATGGAAAATAACTCAACAAGCAAATAGCTAAATTACAAGGTGCTATGAGGACTCAAAAGGGAAAACATGGCCTATCTGAGCCTGAGAATGGCTTCGTGGGGAAGGTAGAACGGATGCAGGAATCTCAGGAGATGATGAGTAGATACAAGGTCATGGAGTCACTCTAGCTAGCCTGGAAGCTCACACGCTTTTTGGTCTTGGGAAGACCATATAAGCTAAACAACTCTTCACTGAAAAACAATGAGGAAAGACAACCTGCTCTGCCTACCTCATAGCTTATTGTGAGGACCAAATTAAGCACACCAAAGTGCTTGGAAACTGTGAAGGAATATGATCCTATTATTACAGTTTACAGGCCCATTATTTCCGTCTGTTCAAATAAATCTTTTCATAGTGAAGCCTACATCACATCTGATATAAAACAACTAAAGCTCAGTGTCTCAAGCTCTAATTGCAGAGTCTCTTCTCAACTCAGCACCTTCCCTGGGATTTGGGGATAGCACTAGGACAAAGTGCTTTTCTGAAGCTGACGATGAATCCCTAAGCTCTGAGTTCCTTGTTTATTTTTATGTTATTGAGGAGTTTGTCAACAGTACTCATCACTACTGTATGTGAAGCTGGGATATGAAAAGTGTACTTTCTTGCCTCAAATCTCATCTTTCTCTAGTTTACTTCTTAGAGACATGTGTGTGTTTATATACTTACTCTGATTTGCTTGTATCAGAGATGATTCAAGTATTTTAAGTGTTTTGTTGTTGCTAATAATAGAACACATTCAAAGCACTCTGCTGTTTGGATGTTTTAGAGGATATGAGTAGGGGGCTAGCATCACCGTTCCCTCCATCTCCCCACCCCAGAATAAATGGCCTCCTTTAAGACTATAATAGATATTAACTACACCCGAAACTCTGAAATACTTGTGGATTTCTATAATATATATAAATTTTCTTTTTTATTTATCTTTGTAGCACTGTACTAAATCCTATCAGGTCATAAGAAGCCAGTTCTTTATGGACGAAGGATGCTCTGGTTGGGTGGGTCATTAGAGACTATTTCAACCACAAAAGAGAAGACCAAGACTCAGCAAGCATGAGTTTTCTAAAATCACGAGGAGGATTGATAGCGATGTCAAGGTTTGACCCAATGTCCCAATTCCTAACTCAGGCTCCTTGCAGGACCCTATGCTGCAACAGATCTACAATTAAGTGACCATAGTTATTATTTGACATTCACTAAATAATGCTGATGGGTCAGCCATCATATACACTTAAACTATCACCTTACTGGGTTAGCCATATGAAAGTCCCTTAATACTATACAGCTTTCTTAATTTTTCCTATAGATATCATCCATGAAGTTGCTCTCAATAGCATGTTAAATGTTTTCATAAACATTTTAAATGACTCCCTCTTCTTGCCAATTTCTTGTGTCTCAGAAATAGCAATTTAAGGTTCTACATTTTGGACCATTATCTTAATCATGGTTTTACTTGGTAAGATCCTGAATGTAAAAGTAGGGGTTATCTTTTTTTTTTTTTAATATTTATGCTATTAATTATTTTTTTCTCTTAAAATTTAGAGAACATATTTCTTGAATCCTTATAGAATTGACTTCATTATACTCTTTTATTATGTATACTACATTATTGAGATAAAAGTACTCTATTAAAATCACAGATTACACTAACAATGTTGACAGATTTATTATATAGAATTCTGCAATTAGAAGAGTGAATGATTCATAGTAAGATCAACCATAATTAGCTAGGGAAAAATTACCAAGATCGATAGATTTAGATCACATACTCATTTCTCCCTTCAGTTAAGCCAAGCAAATCACATAAGTAGATAATTCAAATAGTTACTTTTGCAATTTTTCCTACTCTGTATGACTGCAATAACTCCTAATGCTGAGTTTGTAGACCAAAACTCATTGGCCAGTAATCTCATTATTTCTTTTATGGATATTTCATAATCTTGGTTACTTTTTATAAAATATATATATTCTTACACAACTTACATGTAACATATATACAAAAACATAAAGTATGAGACTTTTGAATTCATACTCAGACTCTTAAACCTGACCAGAAAAAAAAATTGCTATTTTATGTATCAGAGAAACAATGGATTTTATTTCTGATACTTAATGAAATTTTGTGTAAGAGAAATTATATAAAATTATGTATCTGTTGAAAATGGATATAGGTACAGGGAAATAAGTTATTTTAAATCAACCATAGACTAAATAGAGAATATACTCAAATGCTGAAGTCAACAAGTGAGGAAAGGACAGAAATTCTTTAGAATCAAATGTATGTTGAGCATGGAGGCCCGAGCCGATCAGACAGAGCTTTGGCAATGGAATCCACAGACAAACTGACTCAAAGACAGTTCGACAACTGCCAACAAGACTGTTGGGAGTCCTGCCAGAGAGCCAAAGGCTGGGATTACCACCCAATGCCTGGCATTCTCCTGCTTGTGTTTGAAGCATTCTCTCTTATATTTCATCCAATATTTTTGTTTGGCTCAAATGCATCAAGAATTCACAGATTTTTTTTAGATCATTAAATGTTCTTATTTTCAAGAAATATAACATTAGTTGTAAAAGAGCACACTTTTTCTCTGAAGTGTAAAGACAATTTTGGTGACTTGCTTTAAGTTCAAATCAGTATTATAGTCTGTTTAAATTTTTATTTTATTAGGTTACTTTTTACCCACATATTCATAATGTAAAATTATTTAGTATCATAAACTGTTATAGAACTGGTCCTTTTTTATTGCTCTGATATACTGGTGTGATGCCCCTGAGGCTCTATGTGGGTAAGTTGGCACTCTGAGGGGTTCCAATGACAATGATGGTGGTTATAAGGAGAAGCAGTTGTTCATCTACTTCTTTGCATTATGAGGAAGGCAGGAGGGCAGGACAACCTTTTAAGGGACAAGAGATGTGTGTTTCATTTAGTTTGCTCAGTTGCTAGGCAATGAGGTATATGCGTTTTGGCCAATAACTCTAGGCAAATTCTTTCATTAGGCAATTCATCTGCCTTTAGACAAACTCCACATTAGAAATTCTTGGAGTCATACAGAGAATCCAATTTTTCACCCAACTTAAAATTGTACGTATCCTACTTGGAAAGCTTACCTTTGGATCTCGAAGGAACAGAGCCTTAAGGATCAGTGAATGTACATCGCCAATTACTGGGTAATGCATCAGAAGGCCGAGACAGGTCTGGTAGTTACTAGAGATCACTAAATAGGAGAAAAAGAATAATTCAGAAGCAATATTTCTTAAGATGTTTGCATTACTGAGTAAATAAATAACAACTTAGAGTCAAAGAAAGCAAACCAATAACTCAGTTGACTTGATAAAAGGAAATAGGGAGAAGGGACCTTTACCAAATGGCCTTTGAAGCAACATGCTATACTGTTAACTGCAATCTAATATACTATCACTTATCCTCAGGGGGTGCTGGAAGGAAGAGCCTGAGACATATAAATGTGTGTGTTTGCAATATAAATAAACTCTCAAAGCATGCATATTTACTGCTATTTACATGCTTATGTTTAAATGTCTCCAGTTTTGCTTAGAAATTACAAAAATCTCATGAATGGGAAAGAATAAGTTTAAAATTTTCATAAAATAACATTTACCCTGAGTGTCATGCTTTATTATTATTTTTTTTTATCCTCACCCGAGGATATTTTTCCATTTTTTGTACAGATAGAGTGGGAGGGAGAGAGAGGAAGGGAGAGAGAGAGAGAAACATCGATGTGAAAGGGACACATCGAGTGGCTGCCACCCGCACGACCAACCAGGGCTGGGGACAAACTGCAACCGAAGTACGTGCCCTTAGCGGGAACCGAACCCGGGTCTCTCCGGACCACAGGCCGATGCTCTAATCGCTGAGCCAAACTGGCCAGGGCGTGAGTGTCATGCTTTATAACTTACATGCTACATATATTCTTTTGTATATGTAAATATTACATAAGTCAAAATTTTTTAAAATACAGTTTCTTTCAAATATTTGTTTTTCTAAAGGTAACAAGAAATTTAGGGGAGATATCTATGCAGCATTTCTTGGAGGAAAAATGTCAAAATCTTCATAGATTAGCCTAACTGTGTCTTAGACTGTCATTTAATTTTTTTTCAAATCAACCTAATTATGGGCACAATTATTAAACACATCTTTCAGGCAGGTCTATGTAAACTACTTCATTTCTTGGCAATCCATCTGCCACGGCTGTCACAGTCAGGCCCATTAAGGATGCTTGTTTTGTAAGCCACTCTGACTGCCTCCACATCACTGCTTGTGAGGAAACTTCACAGTTACCACTTCCTGTGGCTGCAACCGAATCTTTTCTATTAATCAGAGTAGTTAGTTGAAAAAGATTCCATAGGAAATCAACTGTGATTAAACAGAAACAACACAAACCACAAAGTAAATACTTGTTTGTGATCAGAAATACCATTGATTCTTAGATTTTTTTCTTCCCCCCTTCTGTTGAAAACACCATTTCTTGCTATAGCTTCCCACCCCTCCCTCTGCCCATGAACATTATGGGGAAAGTAGACAGGACTGGGCAGAATGAATAATTATAATCTATGCAAGGAACCACTTCATCATCTTCGTCTCTGTTGCTGACCTGACAGCTTGTGATTTCATACGTCTGGTTTCATTGTAAAGCACTCACTTCTCTACCCTTTCTGTATCTGTTCAGACTCTCCTTTTCTTATTCGTGCATTTTGTCATATTCACATTCAGTTACCTACTGTCCTTTTCTCTCTGGAATTTAGAAAGCTTGCATACTGAGAATAGTATAATGTTTTTATGTATAGTCTTTTTGAGATCTAACAAATAAATAAAACTTAGATAATCAATTCATTTTATAACTCATAAAGTTATTTCCCCAAATGCTATAATGATTATATATTAGTAAATGACCTAGGATGTATTCGTGTATATTTTGGAAGTGGTTATGGGGTTGGGATTCAAAGATGTGGGTTTCAATCCTAGGACTCCATTTGAACCTTTCATAAAAAGTTGTCTGAAGTTTCAATTACATAATCTATGTGACTGATTTATAGCAGCTGCTCAAAACCTGTTGATGGTAACCTCTCTGAGTTTAAGTTTAGGCATTTAGAAAATAACTTTCTCATTTAAAACAACTATATGCCTGCAGAGCCCGTATGGTTCAGTGGCTGAACATCGACCCATGCACCAAGAGGTCGCCGTTTGATTCCTGATCAGGTTGTGGGCCTGATCCCCAGTGGGGGGCATGCAGGAGGCAGCTAATTGATGTTCTCTCTCATCAGTGTTTCTATCTCTCTCTCCCTCTCCCTTCCTCTCTCTCTAAAACCAATTAAATAAATAAATAAATAAATAAAACACTATATGCCTACCTCATTCAATTCAATCATTATTTGTTGAGTACCTAATCCATGACAGGAGGGGATGCAGAGAAGAACAGAGAGTCCTTATCCTGACGAAAGGGTGCATGTACAACAAGTTATCTTCTATCACTAAGATGACAATGGATTATTATAATAATAATTATTATTATTTTTAATCCTCACCCAAGGATATTTTTCTATTTATCTTCAGAGAGATGGGAGGGAGGGAGAGAGAGAAATATCGACTGGTTGCCTCCCGTATGACCTCACCCAGGCCGGGGACGAACTGCAACCAAGGTACATGCCCTTGACCGGAATCTGTCCAGAGACTCACAGGTCCACGGGCTGACGCTATAACAACTGAACTAAACCGGCCAAGGCAACAATGAATTATTGAAGGCTTTCTGAAACTAGGCCCTATGCCAAGACCTTTACCTGCATTATCTTATTAGTTTATATGATAATCTTATTATAAGGATACAAGTATTATCCCTGTTTTATAGATGAGAAAACTGATAGTTGGAAAGGTTATGTCATTTGCTCAAATCACACAGCTCTTGGTGTATGAGGTCAGGTATGGTAAATATTTATAAATAGGCATAAATTCTTGCATTTAGGGATAAAATAGCATAGAAAACAAATAGTCATGGATTAACTATAAAACAAACAAAAAATAAGCTAAGAAAAAGGAAACCTTAAGTTAAGGCTTTAACATAATGTATTGTGCCGCTCCACTGAAAACAAAGCCAATGTGTATGAGAGTCCTGCAAGGTAACCAGGCACACAGAAGACATTCAATAAATGTGATATGCTCTGAAAAATGTGTTGAGGGCTTAGTACTTGGAGGAAAAGATACATAATTACTACATGCAGCGTCTCCAACTATTTAAAAACCCTTACTATTGTAATTTCCCTATTATAAAATAGCAACATACGAAATGGACTTCAAGTGGACCAGATGATCAGGTGGGGATAGGAAGTAAATCTTAAAAATAACAAAACTTTTATTCTTTGCACTCTGGGAGAAAGCCAAGAATAAAACAGGGTCACATCCTTCTCCATATAGAGTGATTTTCATCCAGTGTTTAAGACCCTCATAAGATTTTGTCCTTAAAAGTTCTCATTTCTCTAGTAGCTTTTGGGCAGACCAAAATGAGACTTTTAAATTAAATTTAAAAAGAGGACAATCTCAAATTCAGAGTAGCCCACTCTTTGTCTAGTAAAAGACTTTACTTAAGACTGTACCCCTTTAACAAACAGGGTTGCCGACTGAAAGGCAGTAAGTGAGCAAGTGTCAGGTGCAGAGTCACTGGTGGCGAGGGGGCAAGCACTGGGGAGAAAGGACATGGGATTAGAAAAGTCAGAATGACAGCATGTTACTCCACAGCGTCACTGGTACCAGCTCTGAAATTTGGAGTGAACCAGTTCACTGTACAGGCTTGAGTTTTCTCCACCATCTCTAGCTCATGACCCATTAAGGCAGCGATTTTCAACATTTCTCATCTCATGACACACACAAACTAATTACTGAAATTCTGGGGCACACCAAAAATATAAACTTTTTGCTAATCTGACAAAAAAAAAAAAATAGGTGTAATTGTTATTCATTCACACAGGATGGCTATTGTTATGTTTGGCTGTGTGTCATTCTGTTATTTGACAATCTAAGGGAAAAGAGGTCAGTGCCCCTGACTAAATAGTCAGGTATTACATGTTTTAAAAATCCATGTGGCACACCGGTGTACCATGGCACACTGGCTGAAAATCACTGCATTAAAGAAATAAATGTGGCCCTGGCCGGTTTGGCTCAGCGGTTAGAGCGTTGGCCTGCGGTCCTGAGAGACCCGGGTTCGGTTCCCACTAAGGGCATGTACCTCGGTTGCAGTTTGTCCCCGGCTCTGGTCAGTCGTGCGGGTGGCAGCCACTCGATGTGTCCCTTCACGTCGATGTTTCTCTCTCTCTCTGTTCCTCTCTCCCCCTCCTACTCTACCTGAACAAAAAATGGAAAAATGTCCTCGGGTGAGGATAATATAAAAAAAAAAAGAAATAAATGTGATGACACAGTGCAAAAACCTTCGTCTTTTAAAGCAAGTTATTACCACTGATGTAATAATTGTAGGCAAGTGCTCAGAGCCCAAGTTCTAGTTCTTTACATCTGTAAAGTGTCATAAAATAGAAGTCTGAAAAAAATGAGTGTGTATTAAAATTTAGAAAAGGAACTGTAAGCCTTATTCATAGTTTTGCCTCTCTTAATGTTTAATCCAAATGAAAAAACAAAAAACATAGATAAGGTTTTTTATTTGTTAGATAATATGAATACAAATCTATAGGTTTATTTTATGTCTTTAAGTTTAGTGATGGTTAAAAAAATTTTTTTTCCTTTATTGATATTTTAGAGAGAGAGGAAGTAAGAGGGAGAGAGAGAGAGAGAAACATCGATGAGAGAGAACATCAACTGGCCACCTCGTGCATGCCCCCACTGGGGATCCGGCCCACAACTTGGGCATGAGCTCTGACCAGGAATTGAACTGGGACTTCTTGGTGCATGGGTCAACATTCAACCACTGAGCCACACTGGCTGGGCAAGTTTAGTGATTTTTAACGCCATACTCAGAATTATAGATTTCAGTAGACATGTTTGAAGTATAGAAAATATTCAAGGAAGAAGTCCTGACAATATCTGTTTCTTTTTGTTAGACTTCGTGTATTTACTCATTTAACAAACATTTATTAAATAACTGTTTTTGTCCTGGCCGGTTTGGCTCAGTGGTTGGAGCATTGGCCTGTGGACCAGAGAGTCCCGGGCTTGGTTCCCACTAGGGGCACATACCAAAAAAACAAAAAACAAAAAACAAGC